TTCTCTGCATGACACTCATTTCAGCATAGCAGGGTTAAACTCTCTCTCTCTCTCTCTCCCTCTCTCTCTGTCTCTCTCATCTGTCTCTTTCTCTCTCTATCCGTCCTCACTGTCTTCCTCCTCTTTCTTCACTCTCCCTGAAACACATTTAAAGCTAATTTGTATTCATATACCAACACATAATACATTTTTAATGACTCTTTATTACAGGAGTACATACCATTTCATTTCTCTCTCTCATTCTTATTCTGTCTCTTTCCTCTCTTAGTCTCTCTTTTTCACTTTCTTTCACTGTCTTGCTTTCTCCCTCTCCTCTATCTTCCTCTCTTCTCTCTCCCTCCTTCCCTCTCTCTCTCTCTCTCTCTTTCTCTTTCTTCCTCTCTCTTGCTTTCTCCCTCTTCTCTACCTCTCTCTTTCTGTCCTATCTCTCTCTCCTCCCCCTCCCTCTTCTCTCTCTTCCTTTCTCTCTCCCTCTTCTCTGTCTCTCTGTTTCTCATACTCGCTTTCTCTTTCTTCCACTCTCTTGCTTTCTCCCTCTTCCTCTGTCTTCCCCTCTCTCTCTCTCTCTCTCTCTCTCTCAAGTTCAAGTTCAGTAGTGCTTTATTGGCATGAATGTGATGAAATACACTGTTGCCAAAGCAGTTAATAAGAAACACATAAATAAATAAGAAAAAGATGATATAATAGATCATAATAGAACACTAGAAACTACGTTATTTAGAGGGGTTATTAGTAATTAAAAAAAGAAAGAAAGAAAGGGAAAATAAAAGAGTCAAGACAAAGTCCTCTCTCTCTCTCTCTCTCTCTCTCTCTCTCTCTCTCTCTCTCTCTTCCACCCACTCACACATGCTCTGTTATAGTTATTGGATGATATACAGGATGTGGATAATTGGAATTTCATTAATATTTGATCACAGAGATTATTCTACTGATAGGTATCTGACTTGGATATGTGTGTGTGTGTGCTGTAGACTCTCTCTCTCTCTCTCTCTCTCTCTTCTCTCTCTCTCTCTCTCTCTCTCTCTCTCTCTCTCTCTCTCTTATCATGTTTTATCTGGGTCAGACAGCAGGAACACCACAGCCGAGGAAAGAAGAGAATCATCTCTATTTTTTTGTACATTCTCATATCTCCTCCTGTCTCTCGCCCGGCTCGTTCACCAGCCTGAGTGTGTGTGTGTGTGTGTGTGTGTGTGTGTGTGTGTGTGTGTGTGTGTGTGTGTGTGTGTGAGTGTGTGTGTTTGTGTGCATTGAATGACTTCTCTACTGCGTGCAATTTAACCATGTTTTGTTATGCAAGCTATGCTAATTGAAATGAATAAATTAAAAGAGATTTGCAAATGTTCTGTTTAGACACCAGATGCGCCCCCTGCAGGATAGACTGGGTAACGAGAGAACTGCACACATTAAAGAAAGATTTTAACCAAAAATCTCATTTACATAGATCTTCTTATTGAGCCAAAGCAGCTTATTTAGTATTTACTAAGAATTATTCAGCATCTACTATAATTATTGAGCATGTACTATTAATTATTCTGTGTCTTGTATGAATTATTCAGTATTTACTATGAATTATTCAGTATCTACTATTAATTATTCAGTGTCTTGTATGAATTATTCAGTATCCACTATGAATTATTCAGTACCTACTATGAATTATTCAGTATCTACTATGAATTATTCAGTACCTACTATGAATTATTCAGTATCTACTATGAATTATTCAGTACCTACTATGAATTATTCAGTATCTACTATGAATTATTCAGTAACTACTATGAATTATTCAGTATCTACTATGAATTTTTCAGTAAGTACTGTGATATTGTTCAGTAAGTACTGTGATATTGTTCAGTAAGTACTGTGATATTATTCACTAAGTACTGTGATATTATTCAGTAAGTACTGTGATATTGTTCAGTAAGTACTGTGATATTATTCAGTAAGTAGTATGATATTGTTCAGTAAGTACTGTGATATTCTTCACTAAGTACTGTGATATTATTCACTAAGTACTGTGATATTGTTCAGTAAGTACTATGATATTGTTCAGTAAGTACTGTGATATTATTCACTAAGTACTGTGATATTGTTCAGTAAGTACTGTGATATTATTCAGTAAGTACTGTGATATTGTTCAGTAAGTACTGTGATATTGTTCAGTAAGTAC